TTTCACTGTTGGAAAGTGACACAATCCAGAGTTAAAGGAATTATTATCCTTTTCCCACCCTCTTTTCTTTTTCTTTTTCTTTTTTTTTTTTATGTCCTCTGTTAAAATCAAGAAACCAAGCCACATATTTTTAATAATGAGACTCTGGATGAGGTTCAATCTAAATTTTGAAAATATATTCCAATTAAAGACTTTAATAGATTCCTGGTTTTCCGTACATCTCCTTGCCATGTGCATTCAATAATCCCAAGCCCCCTTTTTCCCTAGTAATAAGTAGACTGCAGAGTGGGTGACATCATTCTCCAGAAGGTCAGCCTCTCATGGACTGCTGATTTCTGAGCATTTCTTGCAAAGGTTTTGTTCAGGGGGTACTTCCAAACTGGCTGCAGATATGCTATGATTGTGTCAAACAGTGCTTGCCCTTGTAAAGCTGCGATGACTTTTGGATTGTGTACTCCAAAAGAGATGTTTTGTTCTCAGGCCAGAGTGTTTCATGGACAGAAACAGTATGTTCTTCTCCTTGGTAGGTCAATATGATGAATACACAGGTCACAGACCTGCAGAGACTTACTGATGCACTTTACTTCAACAGCAACACGTGCAAATAAAGCTCGTGGACCACTAGAGTCAGCCGCAGCAGGCATCTGTGTGACTGGTTGTGATATCAGGCTCTCCAGTTTGCCTGGCAGCTGAAACATATCATTGTGTAGATTAGAAAGTTATTTAATCCCTGTATGAAACAGCTGCATCCACCGCCCCGAGTATCGATTCAGTGTGTCACTATGGCCCTTGCTCAACATACAGCTTGGGCCAAATAAATGAGCAAAGCACTAGGATGTATGCTGAATGGCAGAAAGGATAATGTGGAAAAAATTATAATACCTTTAGATAATTGTATCATATGGATGCATCTGGAATACTCTGTGCAGAATTGTTTTGCAAGAAATTATTAAGGACCTGGAAAGCTTCCCACTTGAAGAGAAATGAAATGACTGGTACATTCACTGTGAGAAGCACAGAAAAGGGACCTAAAAACCTGTAAAACAATTAAATGCATGAAGAAGGTGGATGAAAGGGAACTTCTGTTCCCCTTATCTCTTAATGTCCCACAAAAAGGGATGACCATTCAGTTGGAGTAGAAGAAAACAGCCACTCGAATGAAGCATGTTCGACAGAGCTGTGCCACAAAAAAACATGGAAACTGCAGTCACAAGAGTCTATCAAGGATGGGTGACACAAAGCTACCACATATTTTTCTCTCTGCAAGATAGTACAAGCTACTAAAGATGCAGTACTTTATCTCCTTTTTGATTAAGTGTGCAAACTGAGTTTTTATTCTCAGGCCTCTTCTCCATCCAACAAATAATCCTGCTCTTTTTTTTTTCTCCTGAATCCTCTTCAATCTCTTTCAATCCTTTAAAAATACATCCAGTAGAAGACCATATTGTAATGTTATCTTGCAGCTAGGAAATTGCCTCCCCACTGCTTATCACTATTCTTCTGCTACACCAAAGATTGCACATCCCTTTTAATCACAGTATTACATATACCATCCCTTGCCTGTGCTGTGACTTTTCCACTGAGACCTCCAAATTCTTGTCAGTGCCAACACTTTCTGGCACACTTGCTGGGTATGTACATCCTATGTTTTTTTCTAGACATATGGTATTGTATCTGGCTGAAGGAAAAGCCACAGTTTGTTTGAATGCACACAGGTAACCAAGCAATCTCTCTTGCCCTTCACACATTTGTCCCCATCATTACCAACTACTTTGTAGTCTTTATGAGATTTGAACCTTTTAGTAACTGCACTGTTTCATTTGGTTCTGGACAAGACAGTTCTGGAAACCATCTCTGCAGAGACTGTCCTCATCAGGTGGTGTATTCGTGGTTATCGCATCAGCTTTGAGATCATTTCTTAATGCACATTAATGCTAACTTTTCCAAGCTGATACATGTGGCAATAGGTTAAATGGTCTCCCCAAACCCATCACAGCTATAGAGATATTGCTACCAGTCGAATCTCTAACCTAAACAAATAATCCAGTTGGATTTTTTTGACAAAACTGTTTTGGAAAAGGCAGATAACAATTTTATTTCATGAAGAAATTACCAAGTGACAAAAGAACAGCATCCATAGCAATCTATAGCACAGAAAAATCTAGCTGAAAAGCAACAAAGGCACCATATTTATGCTGCTGAAGTCCCAAGCTTCTGCCCCAGAAAGAATCCTTTTTCCTACCACAGTATGGGGTACTCATCTCTAGAAAAATCAAGGCTGAATTCCACAGCTCCTACAGGGGAACTGTTCCAGCACTTTGCCAGACTTCATATAACTGGAGCCCATTGCTTTTTTCCTACCCACCAGAGACAGTGTTTTATTTCAAATTTCTCAAGATGGCATTAAACACATATTATGTCCTCTTCCCCTCCTCACAAGCCTGAATAACCACAACTCACTCTTCATTTATTACGTTTCTTCCTTTAGGCATCTGGCCAATTTTACTGCTCTCATCTGGTCTCTCTGTAGTAAGGATGCACTCCTCTTAAGCTGCAGTGGACATATCTAGTCCCAAAAGTCTCCTGTAGCCCCAGTGCAGTTTCCCAATTAACAGTTTAAGGGATAAAATGGAGGCTTGCAATTCCTCAAATATTTATTCTGAAATGTCACATATTCATGTAGCACTGGACACAACAGCATGATCTAGAATTAAAAGTGTCTGGTTTTTAAAATAATACCCTAAAAGCTAAAAGTAATCCATAAATATGCAAGGACATGAGAAAACAGCATGCAGCTCAAAGCACTGAAGCTTCACGTCGGGGAGAGGAGCAGAGCCCCAGGCAAAAAGCTTACATGAAAAGATTGGCTAAGAGTCAGAAGATCTGAGGTTCAATATCTTATGCTGCAGTCAGCTGTTAAACACCAGTGATTTACTCACCTGTCACACAGTTCACGTGCTTGAAAACAAGAAGATGAAGAGGTGTGGGCACTGTACAACCTGGTCATCTTAGGTTTGGAGGGAAGAATTGCATGTGGCTTAAAGCCACCTCAGTATTTCTTGCTCTTTTTGCCAGCAATTCCAAGGCCTCCAGACCAGCATATTTGTCCTGGCCCTTGGGGCTGTCCCAGCAGCCAGAAATTTAAATAGAGTGCATTTGTACCTTGGCTTTGCACCTATTTCTGAGACCAGGATTCCACTCGTAACAGCAACCACTGGAGAGGCGAGTACTACAATGGAGGGAATATTTCTGGTTTATTATCTTGAGGTTGTTTTGCATGGCTAAATGCAGAGCTTGAGAGCATCATTTTGTAGCAAGTTTCAAGTTTTGAGATGGAGCTGTGGGCACAACTTTAGTTAACAGCTGCCCTAAACGTAGTGGTCTGTGGTGGTCTGCACAGAGCCAGCTGGTCACAGGGTACTGGCTTGCTTCCTGGTTTTTCAGCTGCCAAACTATATTAAAAGAAGCTAAAAATACATTAAATATTTTCCTTTCCTAATATTACCGTACCACGTAAGCAATAGCTGGACTTGCCACCAGGATGTTATCTGATAACCAATGGGAGGGGAGGGGAGGAGAGGGGAGGCGTGTGAGCCCGAATAGGGGATGAGACAGAGGAGGGAGGCTGCCTCAGTGACTGAGATCAAGAGGAGAGGTTGTTGTGTTTCTATTTAGGTGAGTGATGAAAACATTTCTGAATCCCTGCTTTAACCCATCTCCGACCACACGACCCACCACAAGAGCTCCTCAACAAAAGCCCCTGAGCTTGTGCAAAACCTATCCTGTCCCATGCTGCACTGTTTAAGAAGGGTTAGGTGCTTGTGTAAAGACCATGCATAGGGAGTAGAGCACAGCTGATAGGAGTGTGATCTGTCCTCCTCTGGTACTGTGCCCTCATCAAAATGATTTAGCAAGAGCCCTGTGCTCTGGGGTATTGCACAGGTTACTGGCATAGGAAACAGATGGTCTGAAGAGATTCCTACTCTGGATCCCCTTCTCATTCTGCCTCAGTGATGGGCAACTCTGGCAGCCACTGCTGCTCCCTCTCCCTCTGGAGGAGACCACGCCATCCCCAGAAGAACTGAAGGTCTAGAGGGAAGTTTTTGGGTGATGTCAAGCTCGAGTATGAGAGGCTGGAGAATCTGCTCCACAGGCCATGCATTTGATTTTGATTGTTTAACCTCGTATTTATCATATTTGAACGTGGTTTTAGATTGTTTCTCTTTCTGCATGCATGTTGGAATAAAAAAAGTAGCAGGTTACCCTGATACCTCTATTCCCAGCAATCACTGTGTTTTTAACTAGAAATAGCTCCAGTGAAGTGAATGGGGAAGTCCTATCCCTGAAGGAAAAAAAAAATAGTAACACAGCCTGAAACTAGAGATGAAAGCCCTACTTAACAAATGAGAGATGTAAAGGGCAGCAGCTATGAAAAGACACAGCATGAACAGGCGGAAAACTCTTGGCCTCCCAGACTCGTACTAACAGTCTCTCCAGCAAGACCACAGGGTTTTGAAAGCAGGGCAGCATGATCCTGGGGGGAGGCACGTTTCTGGTCTCCTAAAGCTTCCAGAGGACATACACTGCTTCCCCTTGTGTTTCCACATAAATGGCAAATGTTAACTCTAAGTAGAGAATGTGTGTGACACGCTGGAGCATTTCCTTAATCTCTTTTTGGTCTCTTTATACTTAACTCATGCCATGTACTTGGGCTGGTTCACCTGTGCTTCTTCCTGCTCCTCTTTCTAGCTCTTAGAATGATAGCTCTAGCACTGGGGACACCAGGGAGATGAAGCAGCTCAGTAGCACCTCAAAGAGCATAGCCTGCCCACTGTTCCCGTCCGTTCTTTCTGCTGTGTTCTTTCACAGCAGTCAAGAACTCAACAAGGGGTGTGACATTTCCATCCCAGCCACTGGGTGCACAGCAGAGCACGTTGCTGCTCCTACATCCTCTTCTCCTGCTCTTTCTACAGCTCTTTGCATGTCCTTTGTGTGCTCACCTTGCTGCTTCTGCATGGTAGTGAAGTCTTCGAAGGTGAGAGTACGCACAGGGGGCCTCCAGAAGGCATAGGTCTCCATAATGGCTTCCAGCCCCGTCCTGTGCAACAAAAAGAAAACAAGAAGAGAAGAATGTCAGTCAGCTGGCAAGGGTATCAGCACCAGGGGAAGAGGGCTTTGACCTCACTTGACAGGCTGCCAGTGGCCACCAAAAGGTCACCTTGGCATCTGTGAATTCCTCAAGCGAGCCTTCCCGCAGAGGTCCTGGCCACCAGAGTAAAAAGAAATTTCCCCAGCCCTTTCAAAAGCTCCCAACAGTCTCTCAGTGCCTTTTTCTTTTTTAACAAGGACCCACAACTTTCTGCTTTGCAGGGGGCTCACAACTGCCAGCATCTCAAGGCATGCTTTATCTAAGAACAGGCTTTCACACTTTGTGCATGCAAACTGTCATGCAAATGAAGTAGATCTGGGACCCAGCCTACAGAATCAGAGATTTTATGGACTGCCTTTCCCTGCCACTTCAAAGTTCTGGAAACTGTTCTGAAGTGCTACAGAAAGTCATCAAAAAGGAAATCTCTTGGGTTTTAGACTTTGACTAGAAATGCATAAAAGGCTTTTTATAAAAGATCAGTGACACCTCTGCTTTTGGTCTCTAACAAAGAGAAAAAGTCGAAAATCAAGTGAGAACTTTTCCTTTTGAAGGGCTGGGGTCTCAGATTTTTTTTGTGTTTTCACCCCAGAATGCTAGCTCTGCTGGAAATCTCAAACTCCACAGGTGTAGTGAGGACACAGGTGCATTATGAGGAAAAGACTCCCAGGTTCCTCATGAGAAAACTCCCTGGAGTTTCTTCCCAGGAAAGGCTCTTTCCTCTGTGGAAGCTGCACATTGCCCCACTCCTCACCTTCCCCTGTCTTTTCTGGTAATAGGTTATAGCCCTCATACCGACTGAACACAACTAGAGATGCTTTATCAAATGTGAGAACATATCCCCTTTCAATGTAAAAGGCTCTAACATCCTCAGAGCCTCTCATCAGACGTTGCGCTGATACTGGAGCTGCCTTTTGCTTCTGAAAATGTCTTTCTGCACGTGCCTCCACTCGCTCAGTTAACTTTCCAAAGTCTCCCCGGAAGCTTGGATGCTTTAAATACATTGGAGTTGGCAAACCAAACTCTGTATTTTAAGAGGAGGTTTAGAAGAGAGGTTGTTGCATGGTGTTTATTAGCTGCTAAGCTGTTAGAAGTAGAAAGAGAAGACATCTCTGCATAGCAGTCTCACACGAGTGCTGAGCGCATTACAACGAAACTATTTGGTTAATACAGTGGCCTCTGCCAGCTCACGGGGCTCAGAGACAACGAGGCAACACAGAATGTGAACCCATCTGCTAAGCTGGGCTCTCTGTACAAAAGCAGCTCTTCAGCTACCGGTACCACCCCCAGGATTTCCTCCACTCCCTGTGTGAGAAAGCCACACATGTTCAGACTCCATCTGCTTCTTGACACATGCAGACGGGGAGAGAGCAGTACCATTCTGCACCTTCACGAAATGATCCACAGCCCAAACACCAAGGGAGGACTTTTTGGTACCTTAGATCCAGGTGGTATAAAATGCCCTGGAGCAAGTCGCAATGCAACAAGACCTGCTGTTGAAAGGACCTGCCTTGATGATTAAAACCAAGTAATACACCCAGAAATGCAGGCTGAAAGTTCCAGCTGTGCTAAACCAGCTGCTGTACGTCTGCCACAAGAATTGTGGGGGGAAGTAGTGAGGCCAGCTCACTAAAACCAGTATTCACACAGTCTGGCTCAGTCATTAGATCCCTGTGCACATAACCCCACTTTGCACCAACATCTGACTTCTAGCTCTGTTCGCATAACTTCCTTCCAGTAAAATCCAACCCCTAACCAGAGGTGGCCCTGGGAGACAGTAGAGGCAGGCTAAAGCTATGACCCCTGCCTCTACCTGCAGCCTGCATCATTCTCAGCTCAGCTTGACTCACCGTTCAGAGTTTCTAGTTCTCTGTCTACTTACTTTCCCCTTTACCAATACGATTCTCACAAGTACCATGTAATTCATACTTAGAAAAGGAAAAAATAGAATAGTCAGGATAGAATAAAAAGAAGGAGGAAAAAAAGTGTAAAACAGGAATATACTGCTTTCAAGAGCTGGACTCCACTGTGCCTCTGAGTTGATAGAGGGTAAACAACAGAACTGCATGTACCAGAGCAGCTTCCAAAGCTGCTCTATTTCTGCCACATATGCCAGGGAAAGGAGGGATGCCACCAGAGCCCCACCTCCTTTGGCTCCAGGGGGGCAGCTATAGAACAGGCCCTTTGCGATGGACATGGCTCCAACCACACTCCCCTTCCCATACTGCAAATGCCAGCAGCAGCACCATGGCATCACTAGATTCACAGACTGCCCTGTAATGCCAAGGACAACACTACAGACACAGGTACCTGGAGAATCAATGCCAACATCCACAGCTAGCTTAAAACCACCTCTTTCCTCTTTCTGCCCCAATGAAGAGTCCTTTACTCCCCTGGAGGTGTGCAGACGTTGAACATGCATCATAGAACATCCTCTATAAGTAAGTGGGTGACAGAGCTCAAAGTTATGCCTAGTTCTCCTATGCACAAATTGAGGTGTCTATATATTAGATCATCCTTTTTTTCCCTCCACTGGTTTGTTGTTTGCTTTGGGTTTTGTTTTATTGTTTTGTTTGTTTGTTTTATTTTGTGCAGAACAAATGTTATGAACATTTTTGAAATAGCATCTAAGCAGAAAACATCCTTACTGAACTTTCACATCCTTCTACACATCAGACAAGATCCATGACAACAGCCTCATGTGCTAACTTTCTAGATACCTATCACCAGATGTATGGAGTCTTGCACAAAAAGAATGTGCAGCCATGCAAAAAACACCTCTGGTAAGAAGGTACACCACCTTTGTGGGATGGATTTTGCAACTCTATCACCATCCTTTCAACGTAATTTACTCTTTTATCTGTGATGTATTCTTATTTTTCAAACAAAATGTTTAAGTGAGAAGGTGAGAATCAAGAAACTCCATCACTCTCAGCTCAACGACTCTCTCTCCCATAGCAGTTTATGATTTTGGTGTGGTACCAAGATATCAAGAGCCCCATCACAGACCTCCACCACAGCACAGAAAGGTAGCATTCTCCTAGTCAACAGAAATTTTGGAGTTCTAGTCTGTGTGTGTTCCAGCCCCTAACAGGGACAACAAACCCCACCTGGCCAATGAAGAGACATATAGGACCAGAAATGCTGACAAAAAGCAAAACAAAAAAAAAAAAAAGTAATTGTTTTCAGCATTTTTGCAGTCTTAACAACTTCTTCTGGGCTTTGGTGAAGGCTGCTGGTACTAAGTGTGCTGAACATTATCCATGTGACATCCACTTTCTCTTCCAAAAAACTGCACTGAAAACTTGACTTCAAACTGCCTATCAGGCCATAAACCCTCCTTTCTCACACCACCTTTATGAAGGAAGTAAAAAAAGTATCAGAAGAGGACTCACTGCCAGCTTCATTTTAATAAGGTCAGTCCTTTAAAAGGTATCCAGAATTCGTTCTCTCTTTTTCATTGATTCTTTTATTTTTAGTGCTATAAAGTTTTAATAATAGGCAATAAATGAAACAGTTCCATTGTCTGAAAAATGAAAAAAGATGTCTGAGATATCTGTGCACTTGGATAATCCATCCCATATGACTGACCCTGCAATTCCCGCTGCACGCAGGATTCAGGTCATCGTTTCATTGTTCACAGAGGAAGCTGAACTATTGGCTCCAATTGTTCTCCTGGCTCTCTTACCCTAGACAAAAGCTCAAAGAGCATTTCCAACACAAACAACTTTTATTCACTTCAGCTGACTGCATCTGAAAGTTGAGTTGCTTGCCTTCAGCTTAGGTTTTTTTCCTTCCATCATCCTGTTGGGTTTCCTGACTGTTGTCCCTTCTGGCTTCCTTGTAGATAGGGAGCTGCTGCAAGCATCCCACCATCAAGTGAACTTTACTCAGTCTTCAAAAATAGGTTCTGTGGCATTAAACCTGTACCCTTGCTACTGAAGCATTTGGCTATCTGAACTCTGTGTGTTAAAAACTCTGGTTCTCAATGTCTTAAATTTCAGGAAAGCAACCAATAACTTCTCTGTACATATATCATGTGGGTATCCTTTCACCACAAGGACCAGTTCTCCTGTTTCACAGATGCTTCAAGTGCATTTGCAAATAACGACGGACCAAAAACCATGTAGAGGTAGTCTCTAATAAGCAGGACCAAAGACTCAGTCTTCTCACACAGACTAACTCCCTAATTCATCAAGGCTGATGTCTAGATTGCTGAACACCACAACATGGTTTGAGTGCTTGAAGACTCCAAAACAACGTCCAGATGTTGAGCCTCTTTGCACCCTTCCCTCTGAAACACCTCATCGCTCCTTCTCCCAGCACAAAGACTGAGGCAGTCAGCTGCAAAGGGAGACAACGATGCAAACAATTGAAGGAGATCCAAGAAAGGGTCTGTAAAAACTCTCCCAGATGGATACAGGGATTTATATCATGATGGGGTGTCCCCAGAACAGCAGGGTTTTAGCAGTCTCTTGTACTAACGAAGGGATACCACAGTCCTAAGGAACTATATGGGAAGGCTGTGAGCTGATGGAAGTGAAAGATTTAAAATGGAAACTAGTTCTAAAAATAACACTCAACTTTGTAATTTCTGCAGCAGCTGACAACAGTGAAACAACATCACAATAAGAAATAGGTGAAGGAACGACATCCATCTATATTTCATGTAAATCCCTAACAAAAAACAGAAAGGAAATGTCCAGGGAAGAAGTGGCCCAAGAGTTCCTCTTCTCCCATCTGCTCTGTCTTTTCCAGTGGGTTGGGTTGGTTTTTTCGCTCCATCATTTGTTGGCAAACTCTAACCACAGCTCTGATTCCATATCCTGATGTCGCAAGGATATGATGCCCTAGTCCAGCCTCAGATATCCTGTAGCCCCTGCTGCAGCCATACTTTTTTTTTCCTTTTAATATGCAGAAAAACCCTTGGACATATATTCTACTTGCTTGCTTCACAAATTGTCCCTTCCATAAATCACCCTGTTTCTTTTTCAGAAAAGACCTACATTTTCAGTGGGATGTTCTCTAGCTACAGCCTGATGGACCGTAGCTGATCAAAGCTGTTACAGAGGTGTGGGGAAGCTGCAAAGCATCACAATCATCACTGCAGTTGACCAGAGATCCTGATGAGATTAGAAAGTCAGGAGGGGAAGAGGAGCCAGCCAGCACATTTATGTCCCATTTAGAAAGTCCTTTCCATACGCAACTTGGACTTCAATGCTTTTCTCCCTCCTGTGTGTACATCTATGTACATGACCTCTTTAAAGGGAGCAGCTGAGCATGAAGAGTGTCCTTCACTAGCTGACAACAGCAGTGCGACCTTAGCCAGATCACTGCTTGTGGGGCAGGCGCCTGACTGCTATATATGCTTGCAAATACCTTTGCCTGTTTTTTTCTTCCTAAAGCCTCAGGCTGCTCTCTTTGATGTGTAATACCTTAAAGATTTTAATTCCTCTTTACATCAGCAGAGAGCCTTACTGAGCCCTCCCCACAGCTGCAGCTGTGTAGCAATTTCCTGCCCTTTCTTAAATCAATGAGCTACAAAGATCAGTAATTCCCAACCTTTTCAGGAAACTGTCCAAATTCACTGGGCTAGGACCTTATTAATGCCTTCCACGTTAATCGAGCCCACCATGTACCTGGAACTGCATCAGTCCCTGTTCAAAGCCCAGCCTCCAGTGCAGCTGTATCTGTGCACACAGGGAAGACCTTGTATTCGGGGCACATACTAATTCCCCTTTGCAGGAGAGGAGAGCAGAGCAGAGTAAAAGTCACATATGCCTCAAGTACCAGAATTAATGCTCACAGCTGGAATTAAATAAGGGTGGTGACATCTTTTCACGTATCTACATTAAGATGAGAACAGAGGAGCTGAGCTAGGAAGCCATAAGGTCAGTAAGATGTCTTCTTTGTGATCATGGAGAGTGTAGCACTCACACGGGTGATAAGAAACACGGGGCAGTTGCCCATTCACTGAACACTTCCCATACCAAACCTTGAATGAGGTAGTGGTCGTCCTGATGAATGCACACATGAAGAGCATTCAAGTAAAAGCTGAATTACAGTGCCCATGGGAACAGCAAATGAAGCCTAGGCACACAACTCCCACTCTGGGTTGCACACTCAGAGACTTGCTTTATAACCCTAGGGCTCTTGTAACTGTTCATATATGTCTAATTCTGTAATTAATTCGATGTTTAAAGCCTCTGTCATGCTGATTTAAAGGATACCCATGTCATTTGGATCTGAAACATTTAGGTCTGCTGCACACCACTGGATTCACAAATGGCAGAAAGAGTGGAAGCTTTGTTTGGATTTTCTTACTCTTTTTGATAACTCTGTAATATCTTTTACTAACACCAAAGGTTTTTTACTTAAAGTTCTTGGTTTACCATTGTGTTGTTTAAATATAAAGTATTCTAAATAATGTTTAACATATTCTATTTTTTCATAAAAATCCTGACAAAACTAAGCAACACAAAGTGAAACTATTTGACATCAGTGGAGAAAAAGCCAAACTGCTTGAAACTAGAACATTTTTAAACTTTTATCCTAAAAACCTTTCAGAAACTCAATTTTTCTTCAAATGTAAACATTTGTGCTCCAAGTTTTGGAATTTCCTGTGAAAATTAAAATCTTAAATTGCCCTTCAACAAGCTCTATATATAATAAAGAGCAAGCAAATGTGTCTCGGCTTTCTTTCCTCCAACTTTCATTATTTTGCAGTGTCAGCCTCTGACCAATTTTTTTACAGTCTACAATCCTCCATTTTTCTATCTCTGTCTTTATTTTGGCAGCAAAAGAAAAAATTAAGAAACTCTACAGTATCTTTACAAGTTCACTTATTTCACCTAATTCTTTGGATATCATGGCACCGTATCAGTAACGCATGAACAGTTTACTGATAAGTTATCAAAAATGTTAAAGAACATTTTAATTGTGTTTCTCAACAACAAATAGAAAAGCTTGGAGGAACATGAAAAAAAAAAAAAAAAAAAAAAAACCCAGAAATAAGCATAAATAAATTAAACATCCAGCAAGAAAATAACAACAGCAAAACACATATACAGAAGAAAATAGCCTTGAAAGTAGTGATATAATAGAAGAGTTACTAAGATAACAGTGAACAGGAAATTAAACATACAACAGCAAAAATAATACAGTCACAGAAAAAATGTTGTCAAGTAAGGAAAGCAATGAGCTGTCCTTAAAGATACATGGTCTAAAAATATCTAAGACCTTTTGTCAGGGTTTGGGACTGCAGACTCCAGGCAGAGGTAAGAGCAGCACTGGAGAAGACTTCTGCAAATAAATAGTCAGTCCAGCTGGCTAATGTGGCAAGTATTTTCTAAGGAGGCCATCATTATACATTATATCTGCTTAGGCAAAGTAGAACAATCCATCTAATTCCTCTGAGAGCTAGTCTAAGGCAAACTTCTGCAATAAAAATTAATTAGGATCACAAAATGCCTTCCTCAACCTTGGACACATACCCTGTGCATTCATTAGGGGAAGGAGGGAGAAGGTCAGTGAGGAAACAAACAAGCTCCTCTTACCTGTTTCTCCCAGAATCTCTGAAACCTTTAGCAAAGGGGTTTCTGTCAATTTTTAATCTGGTGATCTACAAAGGAAGAAAAAGAGAATTAATTGAGCTCTCCGGTGCCTTTTTCTTTCAACAGATGAAAACTACTGATGACAACCACTCTTACATCTGGTCTTTCATAGCTATTTCCCCATACCTATATTAAAATTGCTCTTCCATCTGCTCAGCAAATAAACAGTGGCAGAGGCAGAAACCTGGCAGCGTCAGAAAACTGGGCACAGTTCTAGGGCTGAGAAGCTTTTCCCAAAGGAGAAGCACACCTTGGGCCCAAGTGCAAAACCCCAGGAGCTGTAACTCATCAGCAGGCATATAGTTCTGGAAGCAGGCATACTGCTCAGGTTTGGCTGGTATCTGTGTTATCCCAGCTGCAGTACTCCAGATACCCAGCAGCTGGATGCACTCATGGACCTTCAAACAATGTTAAGGAGAAAAGGCCTGTAGCACAGGCTACAGCCTCCAAAGATGGCAGCTGGCCACACAGTCACTTGCAGAAGGTGCTGATTGTTCACCATCTGGGTGGCCCTTCAGGGATTTTCTGGTCTGGAAACCTTTTTTTTTTTTTTCTTTCCTCTAAACAAAGAATATGACAGCCAGTCAGTGTTTTGGGGGAATCTTCCTTCCTGATTTATTTTTAGACACAAATTCCATATTGGTAAATATGGAAAACAACATTGGGGGTTTGACTTTGCAGCCTATTGTATCATACTCCCTGTAGACTATTCCCCAACCTGGTGCAGAGTGAGAGCTTCCCTCTGCCAGCCTTACATTGCTCTGCAGACTGTCTCTGGAGTGAAAAGAGAGTAAGATCTTCATATCCTATCAAATCTGAGGCTGAAACTGCGCACAAGGGACTTGTTTAATACAGACTGATCTGAAGTGGATTTGCAGGTGGTTTGCTTCTGTCAGAACCAAGTCCTTACTCTGGATATTAACCTCAGATCTGGAATGCAGCTCCTATTTTTGCAGAAGCTTAATTTGTGAACTTAATTTCCGCTAGCCTGACTTTGCAGCTGTCCTGGGACTTGTGTGTACAGAGACAGATATGTTCTGTGGAGGATGGAATTACAGCAGAGGGGAATCCCCATGGTGGATTTGCTAGCATTTTACAATTGTTTCCAGAGACGCTTCTCCCAGTAAGGCAAAGTTTTAAAGCCACTGGAGGGCATGCAGGCAGATTTGGGGGATTTAATTTTTTTTTTTAGTGAAAAGGTTTCTCCAACCCACCAGAATCTCCTTCACTTGTATTATAAAAATCCACCCACCTAATCGGGGCTTGGGGGGGTGGGGAGGAAGGGGGATAATCTCAATTTAAGTCAATTCAAAGGGACCAGAAAAAGGAAAAAGTTAGGAGTAGGTATTCAGAAGCAGTCATGGGAGCAATGTAAGCAGGTGTGTTCTCTCTTATATGTTGCAGAATAAAAACTCTCCAGCAATTGACCAGATTTTACAATAAACAATTGTTACAAATTGGCTAAATACTACAATCTGCCCTGAGCTAATTTGACATGAGTCTGTCTCTTAGTCCAGGACTACTGAATATGATCACATCTACTGAATCCATGAAGTCATTCTCCAGAAGCACAGATGTTTTCATATTAAAAAAATATTCACTTCTCCATTTCTGATTCAAGACTCCTCTGCAGTTTATGGCAGAAAAATGTATAACCTATTTCCCTAAAAGGCTTGAAAAGAGATTATTTTTCTTCCAAGTCAGTTTGTACCCTCATTCAAGCTCATAACAGTGATTCTCCCCTTTTACTCTGTTCTTGTAAGACCCCGCCTCAAATACTGCATCCAGTTCTGGTGTCCCCAAAATAAAAGGGACATAAATCTGTTGGAAAGAGTCCAGAGGAGGCCACAACGATGATCCAGGGGCTGAAACATCTCTGATATGAGGGTAGGCTGAGGGCACTGGAATTGTTCAGCCTGGAGAAGAGAAGACTCAAGGGGGATCTTATGACTGCCTGCCAATACCTGAAGGGAACCTACAGGAAGGCTGGAGAGGGACTTTTCACAAGAGTATCTAGTGGCAGGACAAGGCGAAATGTTTTTAAACTGAAGGACAGTAGGTTTAGACTAGATCTCAGGAAGAAGTTCTTTAGTATGAGGGTGGCGAGACTCTGGACTGGATTGCCCAGAGAGGCTGTGGATGCCCCTCCCTGGAGGTGTTTAAGGCCAGGCTGGATGAGGCCTTGAGCAACCCAGTCTAGTTGAGAGGGGTCCCTGCCCATGGCAGGGAGGGTGAATTAGATGATCTCTAGGGTCCCTTCAAACCTAAGCCATTCTATGATTCTAAGTGAACACACTATTAACAAAGCAAAAAGCTTCACCAACTGAGATTCCCTTTCATGTGGCTAGGAAAAAATTACCTTACACAGCCCATTTAATGCCACCACAACACCCACCTCAGTAAGCAGGAGAATGTCAGGAAAGGGAAAAGGGATGTGCACAGTACTTTTCACCTGAGAATAAAACAGGGAGTACATGTACACAACCAAGAGAAGAGGGGCACGCTGGGCCCGAAGCATGATGGAGGTGGTGTGAAGGCTAACAGCAGTCCCTGAGGCAGAGTTAGTGGGCAGAGGGGTGATGCATAAAGAGACTACAAAAGGAATGAGGGGTATAAGGAGCTCTCAAAGTGTGCAACAAACACGCTTGCAGAAGCAATGAAGTAGGCCATTTCCTCAAAGACTAGGACACTGTCTTTCACTGGCCACTGGGAAGGGGCAACAAATGTGCAATCCACAGTGAGTCCTTTCCATATCTCCTTTCATTGCTGGTGTCTCAGATGCTCATGTTTTCCTAGCAATTAATATTCTCTTAAGGATGTCATACCTTTGGGGAAAATATGGATAGACAAGGAATTCTGCAATCAAACACTAGCGTGCACCGAGATTACGTTTCTTAGTGCCATGAAGTCTAGTTTAAAAAAAAAGGGCAGATCAGTTACAAAGCTCAGTAGTCAAGGTCTTTTCAGATAGGATCCCTCTGTGGCAACATCTTTTCCTTATACTATCTGGAGTCAATAGCAACACTCTCCACTGGGAACTGTGCAAGATCTGAATCAAACGTGAATTATGCATGAGAATTTCAGTTCACATGCAACACATGGACTGCTGCTGCTCATGTTCAAAGGCTTCTTTTGTCAGCAAACTGATGAGATTGCAATTCTCTAAAACTTTTTCCTTCACTGCTAAAAAGAACCACAACTGTGTTTTCTTTGTGAGATAACAGATCCGGACTGGTTGTACAGTGGGGACAGGACACTGTAGTTTTTACCATGAGGCAGCAAGGAAATGTGAACATAATACATCTCTTTATGGTTGATCTCACCTACTTTACAGTAAAAACTGCAAGCACCTTATCTGCAAGATGGTTTTCTGGCTAGATACTTCAGGTCTACACACTACACCCTAGCAAGCATTTTCTTTTTGTGAAAAAAACAAAACAAAACAAAGAAACAAACAACAACAAAAAACTCAGCAAACCTATAAAGTGTACACTCCTCTTGAGCTACATTTCTTAGAAGAGTTAATATTTCAAACATGAAAAGCAGACTGATATTTTTATGAACACTCAACACAAAAGGAGATCGAAGGCACACAGATTCACCTGTTGATTTTGGTAGGCTGTCACAGTGGTGAAGACAGTCTCAGGGAAGTTGAAGGTTTTCACCCCATCTCCTGAAGGAACTGGCTTTGTAGGAGAAAGATCACTGCTGAAATCCTTGCGAATGACATGGACACGGGGCTGGTACTTATGCATTGAATGTAAGATTATCTGAAGAGAAAACAAATGGAGAAGGAAAAGGATTTTCTTTTCCCAAATATTCTACACTACATCCCAATGTTCAAGGAAGTAGGGATGGAGTAAGGGCTAGTAGGAAGAAAACTATCTTTTCCTGACAAGTATGCACGAGAGAAAGTCCGTGCTATGCGCAGGAAGAAAGGGGTTTCACTACTTCATAGCGTCAGGCAACATTCTGAGGAAAAACAGTGAAGCAGAGAAAAAAGCTCCATAACTCTGGAGAGTGGCTAGAGACATATGTTCCCAGCAGGACACAGGAGCATCAAAGCAGCAGCACCCTTTCCATTCTGAGAAGAGCAAGGCTGGGGCAGCAAATACCAAGCTTAGCTTCTGACTTACATGGCCTTGATCATCAAGCTCGTTGTTGGTCAGCTTGAGCTTGTCAAAACTGACCACTTGCCTCATCCAGGTGTCTCCAGAAGCCAGTGAGTCGGGGTGGATGTAAACCCTTGGGGGCACTGGGGAGTCAGCATTGCCAGCCACCATCCACTTGGAGCTGTGATACACATACCTGAAAGAGCAAGGGGAGATGGCTAAGGGAAGGTGTCACTCATTCACCAGAGAAACATTTCATGGGCTCCCCCTCCCCTGCCACCCTACCACACACACCCCAAGCTCTCATTTGCAGTCAGGGGAGAATGTGCTTTATTGCAACCTCTTACCTTCTAAATGAAAGCCAGATTACCCCTGAGCCACTTGTTCAGACTTGATTCCTTATTAAAACCACCTTTGCAGTTATTTTCCCTGTAAAACTCTGCCACATGTGCCTTTTCAATTCTTTAACCATCTCTGAGCCAGACTAAGAGGCTAGAAAAAATGGATAAACAAAGCCCTCTCTGAAAATATTAATAAATGCCCTGTAATTTCCAGAAATCCGCACTGGCTGCCATGCCAGTCTGTGCAAAATACGTGTGTCTTCACCCAGAAAAGGCAAAATCCAATGGATACCAGTAAAACAACTGATAAAACAAAATTTCTGGAATTAAATGTTGTAAAATAGGAAATTCCATATAGTATTACAAATGTTTGGGTTAGAGGAAAACATTTTTGTGTTCCTGGTCTTTTGTGATCATTCGTGTTCCTGATCTAGCCATACTATACAAGCCATAAGTTTCTCTACCACAGCTTTGCCTAGACACTTTTTTCTTTCTGTCTTGAGGTTCCTTCAGCCTAAAGCATTTCACAAACATCTCTGCTAACACCTCTGAGTTCTGCCCTGTCCTGCCCCTCACTGGGTCTCTGCTCAGCTCTGCTAAGCTATTTCAGTCCTTACCTACAGTGACTCATTTCCTGTATTTTCACAAAAATATGTGAAAAAAGGGAAAAGAATCTGTACCTTTCACTGCTAGTTTGCTCTATGTGACTGCACAAACTAACAAGGACAGAAACAAAGTGTAAGAAAATATATACATTTTACGCATTAATGCTCTCAGAACCACACTCCAAGAAAGGGTAAAAACATCCAGCTGAGTATCAGACACTAGCTTGATGCTTCCCAGGAAAAGCATTTTTCCTCAGAAACACTCTGCACAATTGGAGAGAAAAAATGTAATATTTAATATTTGAAGCAGAGGAAGAATTCTTGAATCCTTGAGACGTGGTGAAGTCAAGACTATTTGTGGAAAAGACTTGCTTTCAGAGGTCTTTTAATGAGTGTAGATAAATCACCTCTATCTGGATAGCTTTCTGAGACGCAAAAGACCATGAGTTTTCCTAGAGTACTTTTTAGAATAAGAAACCCGTTAATATAAGAGAAATCTCTTCTTCCTGTCTTTCAGCTCAAAGGTGGAGACTCACCAGAGGGTTTTTCAAAGGCTCCACACTGTAGGCCCGTATCCCCTGGGGCTGCTGTGCTGGACAGTGAACACTTTTAAAACAAAAATCACCTAATTCAGTTCAGGCCAGACCTGAGGTTCCCATCTTAGTTCAGCTGCTACTTGCCCTTTCCTTCCTTTCTGAAGTAATATTAGAGGCTCCGGACTCCCCACTGGTAACTGCAGTTTTCAGTTCCCTCAGACAACCGTCGTTAATCATGTCAATTGTGAAATCCATGCTAAGGATCTTCCCAATGAAAAACTGCTACTTGAAAAGAGCGAGACTTCAATCCAAAAGTGCAAGACAGTACATTTAACCTCTGGGTTTGTGTCTCATTATTCTGGTCAAATCAATTATGTTGGTGTAAATCAACCTGGTCTCCTCCAGCATATGTGTGCAATGATGTCTGATGGCACATGAACTTCCTAGACTGTCATTGACAATAAGTATCACAAGGTTCCTACTACTCTATCTAAAAAGTTTACCTGTATCTCTTGTTATCCACAGGCACAATGTCCATGGCAATATAATACTGCTGGTGGGGATCCAAGCCTGTAATTTTCACTCTCATGGCTGGAAACATTCTCCTAGGAAAAGAAGAGTAGAAATAAAGAAGAAAATTGTGAATAAGAAAGCTGAAGGGGCTCCTTAGGCCTCTCTTTGACACTAGGAGCAGTTCTTGTCATTAATCCCCTGGGCTTGGTATGGGTAGCAAAGACTTTGCTGGCAGTGGTTTGAATTTCCAAATTCTTCTCACTTAAGAAAAGGGTTAGGAGGATAACAATCTGTGGGTAACAATAAACTGCTCCCAGTTGAGCACTCTATCTCTTCCCAGCTCCTGCAAGACAGTTCTGCTACGTTCCACACAAATTGTCCTCTATAGGCATGTCTAGGATGTTCTTGCTGGTTTTCCTGCTAGCAATACATCTCTAATTGTTCTCTCACATTCTATTAAATGCAGGATCGTTTTTCTGAGAAAACCATATTTCATTATAGAGTTTGATAGTACCAGAACATTTAAAGCAAATCTACCACCCTGAAAGATCCTCTCACTCTTTTTGGTAATTATCTAAGAAAAAATATCCCTTAAATTAATCTGCTTATTAGGCATGTATTTCACATTTAACATAAACACTGGCATTATGATCATTGTTTCCTTGAAGCCCTGGTAGTATTTTGTCCAATCTTTTTAATAAGTGTTGTCTTTTCTAGGTCATATGATCCAGATCTGTCTTAAGCATTTTTCTCCTGACTGGCAAGTTATGAAACTCTAAACCAACAAGAATCAATTCTCAGCTTTTTTTTTTTCTTGTCTGAGCACAAATTTAACTTTGCTGTGCACTCATCACTGTTCTGGAGGTGTTTGCAGCTAGGCAATTATTTCAGAAAATAACAGCTCAGAACAATTTTAACCTCAAAGCACGTCAGTGTTAGTGTAGCTGCAGCATAATTTCTCCTTCTTAAAAATGTTTTGTTTGCCAGCAGTCCAGCTGACATTCTACACTTCCCTCAAAACAGCTTGCTGAATGAATTGTTTTTGCCATGTCATAATTGCAACAAAAACTGTAGTTTAATTTCTTCATAAAATCTTAGGACCAGAACTTGGTGAAGTGCAAAAGGAAACAAGCAACAGAGCAGAGCATTGAAAGAAATTCTGCGCTGTTTCATTGACCGTTAACTCAAACCTGACCTTCTGCTCCTCTGGTAAGTAGATATATCCTTATGGAATGAGGGCAGTTTGGATGGAAGGAGGATATTAAAGGGGAATTTAAAATCATACTGCCAAAATCATGGAAAAGTGTACAAGAAATGTTTTTCCTCTGTTTCTAGGGGCCATTCTCCAGAAACCATTGTGATATTTTCCTTTCTGTTTAGTTAGGAACAGTGAAATGTGATAGAAGAACATTTATATCACCTCCCAACATTAATGTTTCTCAAAATATTACTAGTGGACACAGCCTGGCAGAGAAAAAAAAAAAAAAAAAAAAAAACCAACAGTGGAGTTTGTGTCTTCAAACATGTCTCTACAACTTTGCACCAAAGGAATACGACTATTAGAAGCTGTTTTGTTCTTTCCCATCCAGGCCACATGTACCTATGCACATGCTTTACCATCCAGGCCACATGTACTCAGAGAGCAGATGGGAAGGAGATTTGTGCTCAGCCTTCACCCTGCTCACAGCTCTTCCATTTCAGGCCACTGAGAAAGAAAGTTCTGACCTATTAGTAACTCATCTGGTTTGGAAATGGGCATTTATCATGGAGGGAGAGAAGAGCACCACCCGTAACTGCCAGAGCACAGCTAAATTATGAGAGACATAAAACTGTCACAAAAAAAAAAAATCTGAAAAAACCCTTCAAGGATGCAGATTTGTGCAACTGCTGGTGTGAGTTTGCTTGTTGAATGATTTGGGGGGGGAGAAAAGAGAAATAATGGATTAATCTTGGGTGGCTTGAGGGCTTTACCCTGTTTCTATCACAATGGCTCATTAAATCTGCCAAGCCAAAGGGGTACAGGATGTGGCATTTTACAGCCACGCTTCCCTTAATTGGAGAGGTGGCCTGGGAGCAGCTTAAGAGGTAGGTCATGTTTCGGAGGGTTGATGAGAAACCCAGGATTAAATCTGAGTCTCTTTGGGTCTAAGTCTGCACACTGTATTGGGAAAATTGAACGCTCTGTGTCCCAAGAAGCTCTCTCCAAATCTGCAGCTCCGTGTAAAGTTGCAGTGTAGCCTATGGGGTTGTTTGCTTATAAAATACCTTGTAAAAGATTACCACAGACCACTCAACAGGCTTAGAGGATAATCTCTAAAATGACCAGAGAGAGTTCAGCTGATCCCACTGCTTTCCCTAAGGTTTAAGTGTACTTTTAAAGTTTTGTCAGTTATTACTGTTTTTCTTTTTCTGTGGGTGTAAAAGTAACTCAAGTTTATTTGCCATAAGGATGTGGCCTGGAACTGTCACAGCAGGTCTCCAGTAGCACTGCTGCGTGGAAAGGGGAAAATGGAAAAGGCAGAAGCAAACAGTGGCAACTGAGGGATGTACTTAGGTGTGATTCTGGTTAAGTCCCTGTGCTCTGTGTTTCCTCTTGGCTAGCTCTTGGCCCCCAAAAAGCACCAGTCCTATAGAAAATGGAAGGCTCAAAGGTTGGGAAGAAATTCAGGTCATTTGAACATGGCTGTATCAGTAAAGAATCAAGAACCTTTCATCTAGAAAGATACTGGCTAACTTTATAGTCAATAGCTACAGACATGAAGGTTGTCTGTTTTCACAGGGAACAAGTGATGACATCTGATGTATTTTAGGAGGAGGTTTTATATCAGCAGCAGTCTGGTATGATCAAGTTATTTATATGTCAGTTTTACTACGCAGCAGGAAAAGTCTTCCTAAACTTAGACTGTGAACTTACACACAGTACCCTTTTAGGGGAAATATGATGTGGTATGAAATAAGTTATTACAATTATTTTAGGACCACCTAGAAGTGTTTTTAAAAGCATTTTCACTACAAACATGTGACTCAATCTACTCAGTTCCAGTCTCCTTCCATAATGAGAATGAGGTTTATGAAACTCTGAATGTCAAGAAAATGAATGACCTATAAAGATCACTAAAACTTGATCAAAACAGTATTTTCCAGCACAGTAGTGTATTGATATTAAGAACTATATTTGGGAACTTTCAGCAATACAAAGAAGTAGTTGGACTGTGACAGCAAGCATTATTTTTCTGTTAGTTTGTTTAAAATTTTCATTTAACACAAAAATATAGCTCAATTTTCCTTTGTGAAAACTATTTGAAGGAGAATCATAGGTATATTCCCAAACTGGATTTTTTTTTTCTTCACTAGCATTGGTTTCTAACCCTTAGGTGATTCAAGCTGTGCTCCTTGAACCAGCATGTTTGAAGCTTGCATCAAGTTGGATCTGTCTCCAGAGTTGACCTGCTCTGAGTGGAGGCATGGGCCAGATGACCTTCAAAGATCCCTTCTAACATAAATTGATTATCTGTTTCACGGCTTAGTTTTAGAGAGGGCAATTCCCCAGTAGGGGACAAGAAGTTAAAAGGTACCTGGCAGACTGTCTCAAAACAGAAATGCAATTCCTTGAAGCCCTTCAGTCATTGGAAATAATCCTGTACAGACGGCTTAGTGAGCAAAAATCTGATGAGAGTTTAAAAAGACTGACACAATTTACTGTACAGCTTTCATGACTGTTTAATATAATGATTTATGTACTGTGTAAACAACAACAAATATAAGATTAGATTTGCTTAAGGGTGATATCTGCTAAATGCAAACCCTTAAATGAAGGAATGTGCTCTTCAATTGTAGCAAAACAAAATTTGTCAGTTGACAGTAACAGAAAGTGTAGTTATTTCCCAGACATAAAAAAAAAAAAATCTGATTGAGAACCTCTGCAAAAATAATCTGATTTAGGTTTGTAGATTAAGTGTGCATGGTATTTGCACTGTACATGAGTTTACAGGGCTATTTTGTATCTCACATTTCCTTGCATTTAAGACAAGCGCCAAATGCATGCTTCTTTATAAAAACAAAACTGTGAGGAGTGAAATAGAGGCAAGGCAA